TTTTTCTGTGCCATTTTTGGGGTGTTTATGATGACACAGTAGGCAGTATGAGTACAGTAACATCAACAGATAATACATAAAACCCTTATTTGGTCAATTTTAGCCTCCATGAAAATCTTAGCAATTCGATCACTTTTTGGCAAGTAAAATGCCATTTTAGTTGTCTACAATTAAATCATCAATAAAGAATTTAAAGATATTTTGAGGCATTTCTTATAGGTAAACGGGAGGGTGTAGTCTATTTGGCAAGTGACAATCTTAATTTTATGTGCTGAAGTGCTTTTATCTTGTTACTTTTAAATAGAGCAACGTAATGAATAGTAACCTACACAGTGTCATTAAAGCCAAAGCTTGATCATTTTAAATACTTTTTTTCAAGTAAAAATGTGCCCCAAACTAGTTAACTGTGGCTCCATGTCAAGTGGACTAAAGAAAGGAAGGGGAAAAAATTAAATCGCTGGAGAATTGTTTATTTCCATTTATACAACGTTTACATTCAATACAGGGTGCCATTTTACATTGTTTATTTATTTTTTTAGTATCAAGGCTGTAACATAAAGAAAGCCAGTTCTTATCACAAAGTTTGTGGCACAAACCATCTTTCAATCGCAAATATTGCAAAAATGATTAATATATCCTCATTGTGAACGTTTAAGATAAATAGCAACACTTAAAACAACTTCCGAACTGGAAAAACTAATGTGGCAAGGTGCAGAAACGAGTGGCCGGGCGGAATTCGATCCCCAGACTCCCGAGTGAGAGTCATACGCTCTAACCAGTCAGCCAAAGAGACATCTCCTTAGCCTGGTAGCCAGGGCGCATGGTCAATCGGGACATTGTGGATGCTCACCACACTGCCACATCTTCATCCCTCTTTCCACAAGCACGTCCTCGTGCTCCCGCGCAGGGTGCCACAAACACTGCCACACTAATATCCGCGATAAACATCTGTTTAAGTACCGGAAGAGGTTATCTTTGCTTTCTGAATGTCCATATTGCTAGATATGCTGAGTTTTAGGGCGAAATCCTGGGGAATTTTGTCTAGAAATGCAATTACCTAACCGTGCGCGATCCCGCGGTGGCTAATCATTTTTTGGCAGCGAGTCAATTTATGGCACAACACCGGCTCGGGTTTCTCCTCCTCCTCCCTCTTTTCTTCTCCAACCTGTCGCTGGGCTGAGGCTCCATCACTTCCTAAATTGATTTTACTTGAACCTTCACTACCAAACAACTGTGAGATTTTAACACATGTGCCAGCATCAGCCTGAAGGGCCAGTTTCTTTTTTTAGTCGAATTTTCTCCGCTCCTCCTTTCCGTTTTTTGTTCTCCATTTTGTTAAGCTCGTCTGTCTGTTTACTGAGATTCACAAACAACTGGCGGGTGCATCAGACCTCTGGCTATTGGTCCAGCCCAGAGTGTATCATTACCAATTGGCCAATCCACCAACTTTTACGAGGCGTCGCGTGGGGCGGCGCGGACAAGTTGTCCGCAACAACTAGAGGCCAGGAAAAAAAAAAAAAAAAAAAAAAAAACAGACACCGGCCCATAAAAGATGAAAGGGTCGGCCCAGCGGGCAGTTGCCCGCTATGCCCTATGGTCAGTCCAGCGCTGGTTGCAGGGGATACTTGGGAACATTCTTTCCTCCTGACAACTGGCACACTGGACATGACAGGCAATACTGATGCACCTCCTTTTGAATGCCTGGCCAGTAAAACCTTTTTGAGATTCTATCAAAAGTCTTCTTGAAACCCAAGTGCCCTGCACACACACACACACACAGCTGTGCCCCAGCTTTAAAACCTGTTCCCGAAGCATTTTAGGTACCACTAGTTTTTCTGACCCTGTTCCTCTAGATTTGTGAAAAAGCATCCCATCTGTAAGAACATATCCTTCTCCAGTGGGATGTGCATTATCCTCCTCTGTAATTGATACTGCCTGTTCAACAAAACCGTGTAGTGATTGATCCTGATTTAGCAACTGCTTGAAGTCCACTAGTTCATCCACCCCACCCACATCAAGTTCTGGAAACCCCAGAGATGTGTGTTTAACAGTACCAGCCATTTTAAGTATCCGCCTTTGCTTTTTGCTCTTCCTAGCCTTAACAGGGTGCTCTGTAGGGAGCTCAGATTTAAAGGACGGTAGTTCACGCAAAGAATGTTGCTCACCATCACTCCCAGAACCACATCGCTGGCCTGGTCCTACATTGTCACCAATGCATTCAGATTCCGAACCATTCTCAGCTAAAGTTTGATTTCTACTTTGTGATCTGGTTATAACATACACGGGTTTACATGATTGAACCAACTCCTGTAAGATGGGAATGTCCTGCCCCAAAATTACCTGATGTGCTAGACCTGCCACTACACCCACACTTAGGTTAAAAGTTTGGTTGACAACCTCTAAAAACACTACAGTTGTGGGCTAAGTTTTATGATCCCCATGAACACAGGAGATGTTAAGGCCAGGGCCTTCAAAGTAGGGCTGGCTGGTCAAAAGGGAAGGATGAACCAACGTCTGAACACTTCCTATATCTAACAAGGCAGTTGCTGGTTTTCCATCCATTTTAATTTCCAGCAGCTGTTTTCTCCCCTGCTGCAGATTTTGTGCAAAAGCTGGCCGTGGCACTGTGCAGAAATATGCAGATTTAGCTCTCCTTAAAGGACAGTCAGGTTTTATATGACCCACTTGACCACAAACGTAACAAACCACAGGTTTGGCTGGTAGCGTAGTTCTATTAAAAGGAACACTTGCCTCTCTTTGTTTCTCCCTACCTGCCATCTGCCCTGGACCACCATCCACACCAGACCCCCCAGACTTACTCTGTCAAGGACTGGACTTTTGTTGAAGGCTGAACCTAAAGGTCTTTGGTCCCCGGCGCGCAGCCAGGTAGTTCTCCACCAAGTCAGCTGCATTCCGAGCTGAAGTTGGATTTCTCTCTTTAACCCACTGTCAAGAGCTGAACTAGGAAGACCCGTGAAGACGCCAAACACAGTAAAAATATATAAAAAATGTTTTATTTGAAGCAGAGTTTGGGCGAGGCTGGAGACAGAGTCGGAGAGGAGGCGAGGGTCAAAACCAGATCGGACATGCAGATACGGGGAACAGGCAAGAGGCGAGGTTGATGACAGGGCAGGCAGAGTTCAGGCAGGGGTCAGGAGAAAAACGAGGTCCGGAGGCAGAGATCAGGCAGGGTGAATTGCTGGAGAATTTACTGGCATGAAGTCTTCAATAATCTGGCACTGAATGACTGGATGGCTGGTTCTTTTGTAGCAGAGAAAACAGGTGTGAGTGATGAGCTGAGGAGTCAGATGCAGGTGAAGTGGATGAAGCTGATTGTGGTAGTCAGGGAAACAGGGCTTGGCTGGGGCTTGATGATGAGACCAGGTGTGCTGCATGAAGGCTGAGGAGGGTGAAGGATTGGGAGTCATGACACCCACACCCTGATTTCAGATGGAAGAGAACGATAGAACTGTTCCAGGATGAGGATTTCACCGATCTCTTCCTTTCTTCTCCTTTCAGGGTGCAACCACTTGACATAAAGATCTTTCAAATGATTGCAGAACTCCCGCGGCATCTCGCTTCCACGCACACCAGGCTCTCGAAACCGTTGTTGGTATACTTCGTCATTTATCTCATACTTTGTTAAGATGGCCTCTTTTACTCTGATATATTCAGAAGAGTCCTCTGACCTCAAGGTATCCAAAGCTCGTAGATTAGCTCCGATACGACCCGTCCGGTCTTGAGATGTCTCTGAGTCACAACATCCAAGGTGGATGTTTGGCTCTTACAACAGCCATCTGGCAGTGTCAGCTTGCTTGCAAAGAGACTTTTGACTGTATGTCAAAAAAGTTGTCTCGAAGATGCTTGTTCCTGAATTAGCCGGTTCGAGAGTCAGCTAGAAACTGAATTCATCGGGAAGTAATTCTTGTTTAAATAAACTCAATGGTCTGAGTTCTGGCCAAGTTTGGCAAATCAGAATTTGACACGTTTGGAGTTTTACCAACATCCCTCAGAAAGCCACGCCTTCTTCAGCAACACATCCTCACACCCAAAGCGTCAAAATATGACGCGCGTGACCAAGCCTCAATATATGACGATTCTGGATGCCCCAGCGCGTCAGGAGGCGACGATCAGGGACACACTGATGACGCACCATCCTAGAGCGTCGGTATCCGACGCCGGTGGTGAGACGAACATTAGAGCGACTTGTGAACCTTAAGGTCACAGTTACTGGCCTTAAGGTTAGGATTGAGGTGAGGGGAAGGTTAAATAGTCAAATAATGTCCGTGTGACTGCGGGCGTCAAACACTGACGCCAGCGGA